CATTTTTGTGTATCCATCAGACAAAGCAAATATTTTGCCACAATATAAGTGCCTTGTCTCGTTAAAGTTATGTACAGTAAAAGTGCGAAAATGGTAGATCAATTTCTTGTTCAAACAGTTTGTACAGCCAACCAAAAAGTGTATTTCTAGCGTAAATAAAACCTTACTTCAGGAGTTATTTTAAAAAATATGAAAAGCAAATAGTGAAAAGAAAAAAAATGTTAACACAAACCTTGATAGCTACTTAATATTTTTAATTCAAAATTTTTTAAATAAAAAAATAATAATGCATGCTTTTGGTAACTTATCTATTTTAATAATACAAATATCCAAAAATAATTAATACTTAACGTATGTATAATATTTTAGTAACCGCAAATGAACTGCTAATATCATTTCCTGCTTTTGAAATTAAATTTATCGGAACAAAAAAGCTTAAAATTTGGCTTAAAATAGAATTTTGCGGCGTAAATGAATTAGAGGACCCAAACAATATAACCCCAACCATTTTCAATGAAATTATTAATCCCAAAAATTTTGTATTCGCATAATAAATTTAATTGAGTTTTACAAATTTCCAAATGGCTGTTTACTGTTATTGTGCGGTGATATGAACGTTGATCATAAATTAATCAGGACCCCAATAATATTGCCAAACAACACAAACTTTATGTGGCGATGGTCAGGTTGAAAATGATGATCTATTTTTTTAATTTAATGGACGTTATGTAATTACGAAATTTAATATTTTCTGGTAAAGAAATCCAGTTACTTTTTAATTAATACTTAACATAGTTGTACAGCTAATTGATAAAAATATATTTCACAATTCACCAGTAAAGTATTTTTTTCATTTCTATCATTTGGACTGTAAGAAACATATGTATTGTAATGTGTTGTAATGTGACTACTTTCTGAACTGCATGCTAAGATCATTCTGTTTTCCTGCAGCAATGCCGGTGGGGTGGATATCCGGTTCTAATGGAGGTAATTTACGCGCAAAAGGCGCAATATTGAATTTGACGAATGAATTCGCTAATGGCATTCAAAAAAGAATTATTTTAGGTGACATTTCAGCCGAGCAGAGTCCCTTTTGTCTAATGGTTATCCACTTGTATTATTTGAATAAGGAAATAGAATATTCCGAGATTGTCCTAAATGAGATTTTATTTTCGACTGCGTTTCAAGCGTGAAAATTTCAGCTCAGCGGGTTGAGAGTTATAAGGATTTTCAGTTTTGTTTCTTAGAACAATTAACTCCATTGTTAGGTATATTTTCTTAATTAACGCTCGTTAAATTCATCTTATATTCTCGGATTAGGTACTGTATTTGCTATTATTTCAGTTACTTCATCAAAAAAATCCCTGTGATGAAATTATGATTTCCTATTTCATAGTTCAGTTGAAAAATCTAAGCGGTCAAACGACAATGAGTGGAAATTCATCGTTCCATATTCTACGTGTTTCTAATGTCAATATGTAGCAGGGTCAGTCATGAAAAGTTCCGCTTAACTTAGTCAAAACCTACCTGACCCGAATCTAGTATGAGTTCAAAAGACGAAACGAAACAATCTAAACGAGCATAGTGTCGCAAAAAATGATCACTGGAAATAAAGCCACATATTACGTCTTTTTGGGAAACCAATCTGATCTATATAATATTAAATAATAAGAAACATTTCAGTTAGTTTCCTAACGGCATAAATTTCAGAAAAGACGGTTTGAAAGACCATACCTCAAAAATCGTATAAACCAGAAAATAAAAGATAATCACGTATTAAATTTCCATCACGATAATTCACTGTATTCAAGAACAATTTATAAAGAAACATTGCAAATATAGCAGCAACAAACGCCGCATAAAATTAAATAAATTAGCGTGTTATTCTATTAAACATCTCCGCGCTCAACTTTAACTCGTCCTCCTCCCCAATATTCATTAATTAAAAACGCAAACACTCAAAAATTACTGTCCACCCCGTGGCAGTTAGTCAAATGGGATGGCCGGCGCCATCAACAACATATGCAAACTTTTTATCCCCGCGCGGCTCTTCAACAACCTAATTGTTCGAAAACTTTCGACATAAAATCGTATTAAGTTGATGAATTTGGCGAAAGCGAACGTTCAATGGCCAACTCGTTGAAAAAATAATAAACTCCCTGCAAGCACCAAAAACGGCAACGGGAAAATTTATGCCGGGCAATTTTTGCTGGACCGTTGTAGGAGAAAATCCAAAATAGTGGAGAAGCTTCATATTCGTTATCATTTCTAAATCAACAGACACGATTTTTCCTCTAATACCATTATTTATCTGACATCCGTTAAATGAGAAAACCTATTTCTTATTAATATGTCTTGATTATTTTTAGGTATTTATTGGAGCAGAAGTTAAACGTAGCCGAAATAGCATCAATAATAATTTGCTTTATCAGAAATGGAAGAAGAGCTAAATAACGCCAACGCAGAAATATATATGTCTTGACATTTCATTAAATCGGGCAATTCATTCTGATCACTCTGAGCAGGAAACGTGGATCCGCCAATAAACTTCCTTTCATTTCGTCCGTTCAATTATTTCTCATTGTGTAGGTATAGAAGATTATCATTCTAGAAATGTACGTTTGCTTTTATTCTTGAGATTATTATTCCGCAAACACCTATCCCCAAAAAGGCAGTTTTTCGAAAATATGAAATATAAAATTTTCTCTGCATATATCCGTCCGCGACCCCTTCGATCTCGGGGTGTATATGATGAATCGGTGCTCTCCGCTAAAGTGAAGCACTTTGTAGAACTTTCGCACCGTCGACGCTCCTTCGGCGTTAAAGCTTTGAAAACTTTAATCCTTAAAGCCCACCTCGTCACTCATCGATTGTATGTAAATGTACCGATAGGTGGTAGCGATGACGAAACGCCAACGTAAAGACTTTCATTTCGGCGCGGTCGCATGCAGAAAATCCGTTTGTCGAGAATAATTAATTTCACGATATAATTTACATACATATACCCTGGTTCCAAAATAACTGTCACTGGCTCATTTTTTAATGTTAGAAAAATGGTGGACGAGCAACGTATACAGGTCGCTCCATTTTTGATCGCAACATAGGTTATATAGGCCATAGGTGCGATAAAGACAACTTCCATTAGACACTTACAAAGGAAAAGGAAATAGTGACATTTGTGTCATTGCAACTTTTCACTCTGACAACTGTCATTTTAATAATCTTTCTTTGTTCCACTCATAGAAATGACCATGTTGCGATCGGAAATGGAGCAAGGTATATAAATACCGATGTATGCTCTCGTAATAATCGCTGGTCAGATTTCTCCTGACCCATTAAAAAAAAAATTGAAACATTAGTCACTGCTAGTTATTTGGGAACTAGGGACAACGTTCTGTCAGACAGAAAAATGTGCATGTGAAATTGTTATTTTACTTACTATGTTTCTCTTTGATATCTGGAAATGATTGAGATAATTGAAATTTGTATTTGGAGGTTACAGTAAACTAGCTGATGAATTTGGACTGTTCAATTTTAGAAAATTGATCTTTAGTTAGTTACTGCATATTCAATTTTTATAATTTTTTTCAACTCGAGTCCTTAATTACCTTACATTAAAACATATTTTTAGTTATTAACGTTTGTTATTTAAATGCAAATTTGGGTCATTTAAGATATTAATGGGACTAGTTTAGTATTTTATAAAACTTAATATAAAAATTAATAAAACTCGAGTAATAGCCTTAAAAACCAGCAAACTACGTTTAAACATATAAAATTTGTTAAAAGCAATCGAAACTGTAGAACTTTTACGGGACCACAGAGTTTTTATGTAGTTCTGAACATTTAAACATTTTGGAAGTTTGTAGCCAAACACGTCGCATAACCTCATAAAATTATTCATGCTCTAAACGTAAAGCTAGTTACCCGAATGGAATTCTAAACTAAGGCCTCGTTCGCATTCAGTTATGCGACGGCGAGGACGGTCCGCGCGTCTCGCCCTACATTATTCCGCCGTTACAAAAAAGCATTAATAAAATGACATACCCCTGGAACGAGGTAGGAACGTACGCAGTTCCAATACGATTTCTTTTTTAATTCCCCGCTTCGACAAATGGCGAAACTAATCACTACAATGAGGCGAACACGACGAGATTCGCAATCACTTCTAATGCCCCGCTAAGTGGTAATAAACTTTACAGCTTTCACGGGCACCGAAATTAGTATTCATCACAAGGAGGATGTGTACGGTAGACTACGAATGTTTCGAATACAGCGCCCGTTTGTTACTTATTCGTTCGTTCGTTCGTTTCGTTGCTCGAAAAGAAATCGGTTGGACTAATTTAACAATACTTAAATTGGTAATAGTAATTTTTTACTTAAATAACTATTAAGAAGATTTGTTCTATTTAAAGGGCATTAAATTAATGGTATTTTATACGGAGTGTTACTGGACAGCTTTTTCTCATTTTATTCGAAAAATCTGCTAAATTAACGCGCGATGCGATGCAGAATAATAGCACCACGTAAATTATTCATTCGCTTCCAAACAAACAAACACTAACAAAATTAAACTCCCGGTTTGCGAAACTTTGCTCGCAGATAAAGAAACGGTTGAATATACGTGAGTGTCAGAAACTTATTTGCATACATATTAGAGCTGCACCGCTCGAGCCTCACCCTGTATCCGTGTCAAAGGTCTGCCATCCTTTGACCGCCCTTTTGCTGCGAATTGAACTAATGATCTCATAAAGCGCGCCCGACTCCCCGGCTGAGCCATTGTGAACTTGATTTGCAGCTTCCGTTCATTTTAATAACGTCTACAACTCATGTCTTAAGGGGACACTGCCATTGACAAGGTAAGATATAATGCAGTAAGACCATTACGGAGCGCCACAGAAAGATTGGTTCGTGAATTGTAAAAAAATTACTTTTGTCCGATTGAAATATCGACAAATTTATCGTATGATCATTTTGATCTGTATACACTAGTGTAAATATTATAGCGACTTACCTTGACCCAGGAATGGCGATTCTTGATTACTCCCAGTAGAATCCTTTTGTTGGAGAGCATACTCAGCAATGCGTCTGAGTGAAGCAGCGTGAAGAGAAGGACCACGCGGTGGAACTTCTGGCGGAGCTGGTTCCGGCGGCGAATCCTCGTTAACATCTACAACAGCGATATTAAATGTTAGGGTAATGCCGCTTGAAAGTTGAGAGTAAATCTCCCGTGTTCAGGTCTAATTCGAGAGGTGCTTTTGTAAACAATTTAATTTCGTAACGGTTTGAAAAATTAGAGGGTATAAAAATCCATTCGGAGTTAAATTCCCGGTTGAATTCGAGCTGATACCTAGACGTAATGACGTAATCTCGTTAGTTGATGTGAGATACTTGTAGTGGCGCCACCTTTCTAGCTCTAAGCTAATTGGAAGTCGTCATTCATTACCATAACTTCAATGTCGTTGGGTTAATCCCATTATGTGCGGCAGTTGGCGTAGTAGTTACTCGGCTTGCTTGATTTTCTTTTGCGTTAATTTCGTAAAATCGGCATTTGGTATTATTTTTCGAAATGCGAATTAAAGGGGATTAGGCTTTGTTCGTTAAAAACTTTCGAATCACCTTTGAACATTTCAATTTGTATTACTCATGAAAAAGCTTTTATTCGAGACCTGAAAAGTGGCATCCGGAAATGTTAGTATCCTGTGCATTTCCATAACGTAACATTTATTTAAAATATGCAATTTTTAATAATAAATTTTACGATCATACGACCGAATGTAATCTATTATGTTTTCAAAAGCATTATTTGTCATTTTAATATTATTTTAGTAATTTAAATGAACAAAGTTTCAAATTTCTATTTTTAATATTAAATATAATGCATTACCTACATGGAAAATGGTTCCCTATATTGATTTCATTACGATTATAAAATTCAATTTTAATATTTCATTTTATTTTGCTAAATAATAAATATACTTTTCGTAAAAAATGGAAGTCAAATTTAATATTAGTAATTTAAATATAAAAAATAATTCATGTTGCTAAATATAGATGCATGAGATATACAAATAATGTGTTAAATTATTATTGATCTTACAATTGTTAGTTATCCCAACTATTCAAAATATTAGTGGAAATACAATCAGTGGCTACATTAAAATTTGTTTTTTTAGTTTATTAAATTTCAATTACTACCCTCAAAACTGAACTTGCGAAATGTTGTTGTTATAAATGTGATCGCATTCGAAAAATTCCTGTTCATTAAAATACTATTTACATAGTATTAATTTTGTATAAATTTACATGTTGTTATCTTTATTTGCATTTGCCCGTATTTTATGAATTTCATGAAAATTCATTAACGCTTGTTACTAACTTTTTTAACGGTTGATGAAGAATAGGAACATCGTTTATAGATAATTAAAACAGGGTGCAAACAAAAGTATGAAAATCAGGGTCGCTCAATTATTTACATGGCTTTGAAGCTCCTTTTTTATGAAAAAGCAGCAGATAGAAAATGCAGCAGGTGTAATGTAACTATAAATATGTATTTAACTTGAAGTTAGAAATTATGAAAAATTTACAGGTAAACATAAAAAAATTCCTAAATTTTCAGTAAATATCACTCCTGCGGAAGCAGTATCATATGTATGTATATGAATGAACCTCACCATTGTTAATGCTCAGCCTCTGAGACTTATTTTGGTCGTGGTAATTAATATCTCCGTTGGGAACAATATCATTACAGCTATTGCAAGATGTCGCGCTGCTGCTTGATGTCATAACACCAACTCTATGTCTACTTCTCCCCGATCTTCCCAGCGTGGAGTTGCTCAAATTTTTCTTGTTGCTTTGCGCATAAATAATTTCACCTGCAAATGATTAATATTTCATTATAGAATCAATCGATGGGAAGCTTTCTCTTCGAAATTATTTTTTCGCTGAACGAACCCAAGCTTTACTTGGATACTCTCTTTTTATCAGACGCTTTAATACTCTTTTTTTCTCTCATAGATCATTCTTGTATCCGTATATTGTTAACCTTTCACTTACCGTTATTCCCCCTCAGCCTATCTTGTGGCGTCTGATAATGCAACCTTCTCGAGTTGGTGTTCTCCAAGGGGAAAGGTGAGGCCTGTCGATGAAGAGAAATGGGCGATCGGGGCGACACTAACGTCGGGGGTGGAGTGGGGAGCGGGCTAGCTGGATTATCTGTTGTCGCCGCGTCTTCGGTATCGTCCGATCTGTATGAACCTGAAACGACACATAAAAGTGAAGTCGCTTGTAAGGTCATTGAGAGGAAAATTGGGGTGGGCTGAGATGAAAATGTGGAGCAGGAGAATTGTTATAGAATGATATCCCATTTCATTGTTACTGTTATTGACTTTCTTTTTTGGTTTCGGAATTCTCGCTGTATTATCGAATTTTCTGGTCATATATCATGATTCAGAGTTTTACAGGGTTCATTTTTTTATCAGTTATTACTGTAGTTTAGACTTATACTACAATGGAAATGAAAGCTCTGTATAAAAACACACCTGAAGCCAACGCCTCATATTGTTTTCTTTTATTTGCTTTCCTCGAATGGTTTCTTTTAACTGATTAGGAAACGCGTTCCGCTAAACATATTAGGCAGTAAAATGCGAGGTTCTTATGGATCTAGATACAAAGGTTTGCGGTTAGTGCAATTCCCTTCGACCCCTAACATCCTGCGTTTTAGCACCATCTAGCACCATAAAGAATAGTTAACGCTTCACGTGTTCAGCTGAGTTAGTTTAATCAGTTCGCAAAGAAAAAATTATCGTTACTGGAGTGAATTAAATGCCTAAAATATTACCGAATGCATTAGGCTAATGAAAATTTATTTAGTTTTTGCATGAAAAATGCACATGCATCTAGGAATAAATTGAATCAGGTACAGCTTTTAAAATGTTTGAGACGGGAAGTCAATAATTTTTGGTTTACCAATTAAAAACTGCAAACTATTAATTAATGTGTTTTAATACGAACTTTATTAATAAATCTGTAGGTGTAGGAACATGCTATTATGTATAACGAAACTTTTCAGTTCTAAAGGTTCATTTTGACAACGCAGAGGTAGATGAATATCCATATCAGTGCGATACAACAAACAGTGCAGATTAGACCGATAGGATGAATTGGGAATATAAATAAAGAGAAAATGGGGCTTCATGCTGCATTTAGTGCACACTTTATGAACATTAAGCGCTTTTGTTGCCATTTTTAATTTGCCGCTTGATGAGTCTTTGTTCGGTCAACTTTAAAAATGTACGTTCGATTGAATGGATTGCATAATATATACATACAAAATATTCATTTGTGTCTTTTATTGGATTAATTAAGGCAATTTTTAACAGGTGATTCGCATTGTAAACCAATAATAATTATGGTTTAAAACACAAAAAGGCAGAACTAACAAAACATGAAAAACCAATTCTTAAAATATGCATGTAACACGATTTATTATTTATAAAACATCTTTAATGAGTATTGTTACAAGCAGTTTCCATTTCCAATTCGACGTCGTTAAAGGAAGAAACCTATAGGAAATAAAATCCTTATTGATAACAAAAAAATCAATATACATAAATATAGAAATCTCGACTGCTACATATCGAGATACCAATAAGAGCCTTTTGAAATGTCATCGAATATATGCGAACCGAGAAGTGAGAAGAGAAACCCTTCGCTTCATAATTGGCCCCGGATCGAAGCGGAAAATAAATTGACTGATAAGCTAGTTTATCGATAATTGCATTTTAAACCTTAGTCGGTCGCGTTGTAAAGGTGGAGTTTTAAAGTAGAAGAGTAAGTAAAGGAGCAGCTACAAATACAATTTCGCAGCGCCCGAGAACATCATCCCCTATGAAATTACCTGATTAAATTTTCATATTCAATCTTGAGTTGTACGCCCGAGGGAAAACGCTAGACTCGCTTCAACTTGCGCGATTTTCTCCGTACAAGTCTGCCAGTAATAATGAAAGTTACATTTCTTTCGAATTTTCTTCTTTCGATTTAGGATTTTACTTTCTCTTTGGTATTGCCCTAAGTAACGAATGTGTATTAGTCTGATCGCTAAAGTAAGTATATGTTGAAAAGGAAAAATATACTTCCTGCAACTATACCATTTCATGCATTCATTTACAGAATAATAGAATCAAGTTTACACTTTTTCATATAAATTCAACTGGATTTTGTGGTCAGTATTAATACATTTTTAATGCAACTGAAATTGCAATGTCTGTTTCATTAAACTTTGTAATAAAATCAGTTGATAAACCTACCTATATTTTTCAAACTTTCTCCAATTGAAAATAAACTAAACAGGAAGTATCTAATAAATATACACGATAACTGGAACTGTGACCGCGATAACAAAAATTTTTCATATTTCTAGAAAGTTCGTGAGGGCGTGCCATCAATTATGCTCTATCGGATAACATAAATATAATGGGAAGGAAACAGTAATTGGTTCTCTAGCGCCTTTGAGTAAGCCAGGAGGGAATATATTGTTCGTAAACTTTATTTCTCTTCTAACATATAACAGTATCTCGGCATTATTTTGGTTAGATAGCAGCTAAAAGTGCGGCTCATAATCCCCGGAATTCACTTAATTTCATTTATCTTGAATGTTGTTATTTATTTTTAATTTGTTGTAGGTAGGTTGTAGATATCATCAGAACTCTATCGTTAAGTTCATCGTTAAACGACGGATCCTTAAACGATAAAGTTTAATAGTAAAATAATGTATAAAATCTTCAAGGTATCTAAATCTAGAACATTTTTTAGCAACATTCAACCAACTTTAAACAATCCAATTAGGTAGAATTCTCCCTTGATACTACACAAAACAAACCGGAATTATTAAAAGCGCGAATCAAAGTCCTACTGCGAGTCTTATATTTTCTCTACCTCCAATCCTATTTATTTAACGTCTGAAACGTCTCGTGTCGTCTAGAAAGATTCTCCCAAGGGCAGAACATAAACCAAAAAAAAAATAGCAGTCGCATGGAAAGTATGCGACTCTGTGACTCTATAACCTTAAATATTCATGTAACCTCCAACTCTCTACAAGCAACTAATCGATAGTCATAATGAAGTTCTTTCAATCTAATTTTTGTTTTATGCAATAGCTCAGGTTAAGTAGTTTTTTTTTAAATAATGTTAACACGTTAATGTTAACAAATGTTAGATAACTTTATTTATTATGTAGAATAAAAACGCTACATTACTGTTCGATCGAATTTCTATTTTTGATCAACTTTTTCACTTACATCGAGATAAACAAGAAAAGAAAAGAGACAAACGTACACGTTTCAGTTTCAACGACGATCAAGTTTCTCATTTTTCCGCGTATTAATATGTTATGAACCGGAATACGTGTTTTTCTTCGCTTAAAAAATGTTTCGAGGCGAAGTTCAGCGCAAAAGTAGACACTAACAGTCGAGATTTCAGAACTGAATTCAATTATTCCTCCTCTCTTTCGTACCGCTAGATATAATTTATAAAAATGTAATTCGATCTGGAACGTCTTCTAAGTTGTTACCTGTTGTTATTTATTAACAAATCTTCTGCAATCTTCTACAAACTCGACTAGTTGTTTGTGAATTATTTAGAATATGAATTTGGTATTTTATTGACCTTTTCGTTTCTAACATTAGGGAGTAAGTGCCAAATGTTGGAAAAACACATATCATTCCAAACTTTAGTTTGCTTAAAACTTACTTTGTATACGGTAATGTATGTTATAAAATGCAAGTATACTTTCTAAGTCTGATGTTTATTTACTATGTTTCACAACTTTATTAATCATGTAACTTTTTAATTTAAACAATTTCACAAACTTTTTACCTAAAAAATTATGACTTTAAGAAGAAATTATTAAAGATAAAAATAAACGAAAATTTTATTTAACACTATCCAATATGATTTAATTCAATTTAATTATGTAATAACAATGAGTAAATTAGATTACGTATGTAAGTAGGTAAGTAGCTATTTATCTAAAACTATTAAATTTATTCAATTTGGATAAAAGCCAACCCTGTCGCACATTTCCTTTCCGCAGAAAATCAAACCAACAGTAGTAAATGTTTAATGGCATCCTTCCGTTTTCCCATTTCGCGTTTCTAGTACATTTGATCATTTAATACAACAATTAAACGAAAGATCGACTCACATTTAATATAACTGCCCGATATCAGAGTTTCAATTACAATTTACTTTGCTAAATTAGTTCATTCCGAAACCGAAATTGGCATGGTACTGGCTGCTGTTGAAACGAAACGATCCAGAATTTTGAGTGTTCTTAAAAGGCATTAAATTAATCCATAAGTTACTGTTGCTCTTAAGAATTAAATTTGCTCATCTTAATCTGCTTGCGATAAAAGCAAATACCAAAAAATTTTGATTTTTTTTAAAGTACTTCATTAAATAGTATCGAGATATTTTATACATGTAATCAATACTTTCATGTTTTTTAAGGCTAGAGTTCAGTACTCTGAAAATAGGCGTAAAATGCCCGATTCGCCGAGTCGTTTTCAGGGCGTATTTTGAAATTTGAAAGGTGGGTCGCACTCTACATATGATCTACCCATTTAGTTGTAATGCGCGACGAAGCCCTTTTTTTGAAAAATGCTTTTGTTTTCGCTTAATTAATGAAAATGTTGAAATCGTATAATCCATTTTCAGGCTACATTTTTAACTTTTTGTATGCAATTTTTGTACCAATGGAAAGAGCTGACTCTTTTCGAACGCGCGACGAAGCCCTTTTTTTGATTTTCCTTGTCATTTGTTAATAATTAGGATGAATGTGTTTAAAAATTCAACGTTTCAGAACACTAAATTATCAGTTTTAGGCAACTTGTTATACAGTCCGAGAATGATTTATGAGGGGTTGGTTTCGTCTTCAATTTTACGATCCAAATCCGATAATCCGATTACCTACAGTTAAGATGTTAAATTTTAAAATTGCAAATATTTAATTTAGTGTTGCTACATACTTGATTTTTTATTCTACTTTTATTTTACCTCAAGAATTTTTTTAAAATATTGTCCGGTTACTAAATTTGATTTGACTAAATTTGATTAAGTACAGGAAGTACTTAGTTATTTTTAAAAAATTATTTATGTCAAGCTCTTTTTGACTGTTGGTAGTATTAAATGATTTTGTAACACCACATATGTTATATTAACAAGTAATTGTACTCTTTACTCCAAACCCCTTTCATTGA